CTGGTGGCTCATTGCACTTTGATTGCTCAGGAGTGCTTGTCAAAAGGCTGTCAGGAAAATCACCAAAGTACACACTTGAGCTCAGATCTCAGTGACTTTTGATAGGACTGACCTTTGTGCGTTTGAAAGTCTACCCCTTGTTCTCCGCAAAGCAGTGGCTTCCCATGTGGTCTTTATGTTTACAGCTATGAGTGTTTGGTGTTTCTGTGACCTCTTTTCACTCATTACCACTACGCTCAATATCATGGCAAAAGAAGGGTAATGATTCTTTTTTTTTTTTGCAATTCTAACTAAAATGCTACCATAGCAGAGGGTGTGTGTTGGCCAAGGTCTTTATTATGCAACTGTATGCAGATCACTGTGAATTGCATTGTTCATCTAGTTCAGTGATGCAGCACCAAGGTCACTGGGCATTTTTAAGCTAATGATGAGACCATAAGTCTAATAAATGTGCTTGGTAAATCACAGCAAACATATTGTCATTGTCACAGATGTCATTCTTTCAAAATCACTTGGCAAACACAACTAAAACACAGTCCTTGTTCATGCTTTGACCTGTCCTAAGAATGCACCATCAGGAACATTGAGGAGCCAAGATTTTTTAAGCAGAAAAGTTATGGCCTACAGCTACAAAATCTGTACTTCTAACGGTGCTGTTGCAGTTTACTTAGACTAAACATGCAAGGGGCTAAATGAACATGGAATCAGTGAAGGGCAAACTTTGATGGAGAGCAGATTTTGAAAAGGAACATATCCATTAGTAATGCCAACACAGGCAGAGATCAATTTCATATTACAATGATCTAGGCAGGTTGACATCAATTATCCAGTTTATTTGTGTAGCCATTATGCTGCAGTAACCCATTAGTTGCTGATCCAGCAGCCTTTTATTATCTGTCAGAAAATAATAAACCACCAAACGCATCATGTCACTGTGAGCTTTGCAGTGGTTCTCCACAAGGCTGGGTCACCACATTGCTAATGTTATGCCCTCAAAAAGTGGCGATGTAGTGTCCATAACTTGTTGCAGCTTCAGTGTCTTGCGACCTATTGTATATTTGTATATTTTTATTTTTACATATGTATATCATATATATGTATATTTTTGGCTACCAGGCATGAAACAAACCACAACACCCTGACCACTAAATATGCTTCTGACAATACAGGAGGCAAAGGAAATTTAAAACAGACACAATTTATTAAATTCTTGCTTGACTTATACCAATTATTGATATGAATAAGGGCCAGTAATTCAACATTACTGCAAAAGTCACTTAAGACGTTCAGTGGACAGAAAATGCCAACATGTGAAGGTGGCTGTTTAGCAAGGAGCTGAAATAAGCGTGGTGGCAAGAGAGGCCTAAGACAAGACAGAGCTGAGAGCTGTCATGTCTTATTCTCAAATGACATAAACCAATGCAGGATTGAAACCAGTTTCATTGTATATAAGCTTTCTGTGGCTTCCATGCTAAAAAAAGGAAAAATATTACCCTTTGCTAATGGATCTATTTCACCGGGAAGCACAGCATGCATCCCATTCAACGTGTCAGCAGCTTTCAATCCTCAATTCAGTTTACCAACAGTTAAACTATTCAAGGCCTGTATAACAACCTTTTAAAGATGTGACAAGAAGATTTTTGATAAATAGTAGAACCTTGGTACTACAAAAGTGGCCCTTGGCTGGCTAAGGAGAGCAGGTCTCTGGATGCAACCTGACGTTTTGTCAGCAGCTGCTGTTCAGATAACCATTTTATTGTCACTGTGTACTCTGACCCACACTATAGTCTCCTTTCACTCAGAATATGTTTACTTTCATACTATCCTGCATTTTTGTTGCAACAGAACAGCAAAATGTTTAGCCTACAGAAGAATGCTGCAAGCTGGTTTCCAAGGGTGACCTTGAGTACGGCTGGCACACAAGAAGCGCAGTGGAAAGCACGTAGTCTCCTATACCACTCCTATACTGCCTGTGTCCAACACTGGTGTTACCTTCTGAAATAACACAAAGGAACTAAATAAGTACCCATTTTTGTGTGTGAACGCACATTCAGAATTGCACTTTCATGTGCATGCTATGAAAATCAAGAAAACAGATTAGAACTTTCACCCTTCAAAACCGTAATTTTTTCCCTGCCCTTTTGCTCTGAAGCTTATGTTTAAGTCTTGTGATTTTTTTAACTCTTTGGGGTGGGAAACATAAATTAAAAAACAGTCTGTGACCCATTACTATTTTATAACCTGCTCTTTAGCAAATTGAAAGTAATAGCTTGCCAGGCTTGTATTTAAACTTTCATGGAATGATGTGAGGGAGTGAAATACAATGACTCAGACAAGAGAAAAGACAGGAAAGCTAGGTGGTGTTGGGAAGTCCTGTCCAGAGAGGTAGAACGAGTATATTACCAAATATTCATGCTTTGAACCAATCCCAGACCAAAATAACTTTTTTTTTTTTTTTTTTTTTTTAAAAAAAGGTAGTGACTGCTTATAATGGTGAACATAATATTTTTAGATTCAGGAAGCATACAGGAATAACAGGGACGAAAGCACCATGGCCGTGCCAACCTACAGAAATGAAAGCTATGTAAAAATGCAGAAATTTGTTTAAAAGAAGTTGAAGAAGGATGGCTAAGAGCTTTAAATCCTCACAGGCAGCACAGAGACCCCGGAAGGGCACCACAGCGGGAGCACAACATCAGTGCATACCGCTTGCTGGAAATCCCTTGGGAACAGGTAAAAGGAAATCAGCGTGGCTAAACAGTAAAGCAAGGGAAGTTATTGAAATTAAGAAGTTAGCATTCAAAATGATGAAGCTGCATCTCAGTGAAGAAAAGTTGTAAATTCAGAGAGAATAAACATAAAACTATAATTAGACTAGCATTTGCTTTGTATATGTTGCGGCAAAATTTCAAGGTGTTAATTTTATCCGTAAGTAATTTGACTCATCTATGACATCAAAAGAGAAATTGATGGCTTGATTCACTGGTTTCCCTGCCATTCATATCATGCAGATCAGGATGAAAATGAATATAAAGTGCTGCGGAATGGAGCCATTTTATATTTGTTTTAGTCAGTATGAATGATAATAGGAAGTATAGGCCAAAAATGGATCTAAGTGTTTTTAAACCTTCTTTTCTGAACTTCAGAAGTGCAACCATATGAATCTTCCCCCATTCATACATGAGAATGCCATTAATACATGGTAAATCAAACTGCCCAATTTTATAACCACACCCTGGAGTCACTTGACAGGTTTATCTGTGCCTCATTAGTGGAAAATTTACTCTCTGATACAGCACGGCCAAATCTGTCATGCTCACAAATGCTGATCTTACAAATGCACATGCTTCCCACTTATGTGCAACGAGATCCTGCCTAGCTGTATCCTCAATTTGCTCCAGGGTCATACCTCCCACTTTCCCCTCTTGTTCCTGTGTCCATAGGCTTGCAACAAAGAAATGAATAAACGCAGCAAGTTTTCTTCCATAAATGAGTTGTGTTTTTTTAAGGAATTGGCGAAGTACATATTACCTTTTGTTTACTTCTCAGGACCCCCTGTCTGAACTAGTTCTACTGGAGTTCAGTAAAATGAATTCCAGAATGGTTTGCACAAGAGTTCTTAAAAAACCAAATATGCCAGCAATGGAAAATATTTTTGCCAAAGGCTCTTTCAATTCAGATACAGAATCACTAGCTTGAGGACAAACTGATTATCTAATTTATCTCTGATCTGAAAAGGATTAGAGCACAATTCATTTTATATATTCTTGAGCAGTTTTGCCATACTAAGCTTCTGCATAACTGCTTACAGTATCAGGACCCTCTCTCACAGAACCATTGGTTCTGTCTAGAGACAGAAATATTTTCTAGGCATTTCACCAAAGAGTTCAAAATAATGAAAATATTGGTGGATAATCAAGATCATAAAAATACTCATCAAGAAGAAAGACAGTTTAAAACACTGATGAAATAATCTGCTGCCATTTATTTCCTTCACATTTCCCTTTATTTCATCTATTTCTTTCCTTAGCCCTTTCTACAGCTACGTTCATTTTCTCTACCACTACTTACTGGATTTTGCTCTTGTTATGACTGCACACACATTTCCATTCCCTCTTGATGGCTTAATACTACTAATATTATATTTTGAAACATCATCTTGTGCATTCTGTGCTTCATTGTTATTACAAAAATGTTAGGTTCCTGTAAAACTAAAAGCAGCAAATAGATTTTTTGGGGGCAGATAAAATTGTGGAGATTTGTATTTTGCTTGTTCAAATACAGTTCTGCCTTTCAAGAGACGTTTTTAGTAGTTGCCTTTGCTTTGTGTGGTGCTTTTCTGCAGTGACAGCAGGCAGTGGTTTAGTGGCAATTTTAAAATATAACATTACCGTACATTACAAACAGTACAATAGTGTTTTGGACAGCAACGCCTCTTAAAAAAAGCAAAACCGAGATGACTTTCCTCGTTTCCTCTCTCAGCTGTAGAAACCTGTTCTTGGACAATTCTTCAACATCACAAACTTATTCTTCTGTTAAAAAAAACCCAAACCCACACACATAAATTCTGGATATTAATTAGTAATCATATAAGATGGCAAGCTGGGTTTTTTTTTGTAACAAATAAATCTGTATTTTCACTTGATTTACTAGATCTATTAAATATTTACATTATTGCTTTCCAGTTACTCTCTAGTATATATATTATATATCAAACACTCAGAACAGGATTTTTTTAAAATTATCGTTTATTTCATATTTTTTCATTTTTACCTCCTTCTGAACACAAATGTTTTTCTTTATTACATTATTACAGTCATCTACCTGTTAGCTTGAATTTTTATTTCATTATCAGCCATTAGGCAAATAAAAGGTAAGTCATATAATCTAATTTTGTTAATGGAACTTAATGCAGCTCAGCAATCTAAAAATAAGTCAATAACTCCTTGCGCATCAAGCAACCACAACCAGACTGTAATAAGGCTACCAGAAAATACATCTCAGAAAACTGTTAGGAGTGCAAAAAGTCCATAAAGTAGAGCACACGGATACGCAATAAGAAGCTGCTGTCCTTCCATAGCCAACGCAGAGGTAAAAATTTTGGAGGCTGACAAACTGCACCACCCGATAATAAACAGAGCTAACAAAGTTCCCAGGATCCCCCTACGAGAAAAAAAAAATAAAAGAAACATGACAGAGTCCACTTGTTAGTAAATGTAACATCAAATCTCATCAAACTCGAGCTTGTGTCTAGCAGCTTGTTATTGATAAGGTAACAGCCACTGGAAGAACCAACGACTGACTAACAATGAAAGTCAAGCCTGAGAAACAAATTAAAATAGTTATGGGATACAAAAAGGTAATTTCTTCAGCATGGATAAAAGCAGCAGCTTCATCAAAAGTACTGCTAAAAAGGACAATGCACTTCCAAATAAATCTGTGCCTCCAGCAGATGCAGCAGCTAAAGTTTAATTTTAAAGTCAGCAAAGGTCCTATTGCAGCCAAGATCACCTTGTAGAAGTTGTTAGGATCTAAAATGACACTACAGACTTACTCTTCCATCAGGCAGCCTGACAACCTGGAGGGGCTGCATTTTTTGGTGACATATGGCACAGGTTTTAAGTGTGCCTCTGACCCTGAGGAGAGGCAATGAGGCTCTTAAAGAATCACACCTCAGCTGACCAGGCAGAAAGGTGGTGACTGCCTCCCAGGAGAAAGCTCAACCGGTCCTTTAAAAAAGGGTCACACTGAGTAGAAAGTAAGGGATGGGAAAAGAACTGCTGAGGAAAAATATTTTGCTCATCCTGGCATCCTTCTCTGCACACTGAAAGGACAGCAGCTTTCCACACTGCCCCTTGGTGACAGCTTGGCCCTTCTGAAATCACATTCTGCCACCTCTCAAGCACAGCGTGGCCTGTAGAACTGATGATTATGGGACTACAGTCAAAAGCCCATTGAAATATTCCTACAGATTACAGAGAGCTAACTATTAAACCCTGTAGGAACAAAATCTTGCCAATAAATAATGTTTCATATGTGCTTTATTTGCACTCTGTATTTGCAGCCTGCTTCTGTAAAATGCATGAGATCACACGCGTAATATGCTGCTGAAGTACATAATGAGATCGGCTGCCTTACACACTTTTGCTGTGTCAGTCTCAAGGACTTTGAGAATGAATGAACCTCTGCCACCTGCTAAAGGACTTCCTGGTGCCCCACTCTTCCCAAGTGTCAGCAAAACACAACCAGAAGTGAGAATAGACTACGTATACTTACCTAGGTCCATTTATTAGAAATAATCTCCACTAACAATATTTTTGCAATTAAACCATGGTGAGTAAAGCTCTCCGTATTTAACTGACTTAGTTTACTTAATGCAATCCTATCACATAAAAGAGTTAATTTCTTGGCAATCCAGTCTCCAGGCCAATAAGGTATGTGGTGTGATCAGCTCTCTGGACTTTGGGAGAGGAAGGAGAGTATTGATTTTATGATGACTCAGCACCTCATTGCAACTTCAACCCGTTAAAAATGTAACATTAAAGACCATGTGATTTAACATCCTCAGTTCAAGTGTTCTTTAAACCTATACAGGGAATGCACTGGGCTCCGTGAACCAAGTTCCTGGCTGCTGTGCCAAGTGGTGATGATAAGATGCTCACCTAAACAGTCAGCCAGAAATTCAGAACTGGTGTGGATGGCAATTTGAGCTGATACCCATGCTGGCACAGGGATAGGATGCAACAGGAACATACTGTGTGATGACAATTTTCAGCTAGTCTAATGACTCTTTCGGGGGCTACTACAAGGTAGTACAATTTGGAGCTGTGACTGCTCTGCCTTGCACTGAAGTCCAATGGCCTCTCATGGTTTTTTCCAGGACTGCTAGTGAGCAGGATGGAATGGTGACATAAAATCATACTGGAGCCAAGAGATACCTCTGTGCACTTATAAATTCAGTCCTCGATCTAACAGCATGTTACTGCCAAATGGAATGGTTTGGCTTTAGCAGAGAGCTTGTATCTGGCATGTCCACGAGGGCCAAATCCTCAAGCATGAGAGAAGCGCAAAAGGCAGATATCATGCTCACAGTTACCAAGAGGACTCAGGGTGTGCTGGCATGAGATTGAGTTGAGGGGACAGACATGAGTGGACTGTCTCCACACCTCTCTCTCACAACCTGCAGATGCCAATAGGGTCCTTTGCATCGACTGGGTCTAAGAATCTCTTCCTCCACTCTTACACTAATTTCCTTCACCATTTAGTTAATTCCTGTTCAGGACCTTGATATTAAAGAATTGTTGTCGCATTTTCCAAGAAAAAAGTCTGCTGATTCTTCTTCCAGAAAGATGGCCTAATAAACTTGGACTCAGACATGATATCAGCATAGATGGGCACAAACAAATCTGTTTCCATGCAAGTTTGCATAAAATAACTGGTTTTCTCTTCAGTACTATTCAGCACTCAAAATGTTCCATATTTTGCTTTATTCAGTTGCAGTGAAATAGCTAATCATGAAAATTGTTGGATTAGTATGTATCTTTGCAATAGATGTATGCATTATCTCACCTGTATTTTCTGTGAAAACAAACATTGAAGTTATTTCTGTCTATTTCAAAGTGTAAAGAGCTAACATTTTTACAGATATTTTACAAAAATCATGAATGTATTGCTGTCTTTTCTTTGCCTTTTTAAATTAAAAATAATAAAATGTATGTTGGATTCAAAAGTTGCCACTTAGTTTTAATAGTATGTTCATAGTAGTTAACCTTGGTACTTGCTGCATTCAAGCAGTTTCACATAGCAGATAAGAAAGGACTGCAGAATCCTGTAGACAGGCACTGAACATTATCTATTAATTTCAGAAATAATGGTTTAATTTTGTAAAGGCTATTGCAGTATAGTATTTATAGATTTTCAAAATTTCTGTAAATTCACAGCATTTTACAAATGTGCGGTGTATGCTTGGGGATTCCTTGTACAGACAACAGTACCCCGTGCAGTTTTAACAGCTGGTCTGGAGATCACCTCGTCTGTCCTACAATTATGTATCTGCACCTCTTATTAGGGTGGATTATTAAACAGGTTAATCAAGAAAATAAGGGAAGAGTAGGAGAACAGAGAATAAACGGCTTCCTCAGTGTCACTACTGTTCATCTCATCAAGGACAGCTCAGAAACACTTTAATACATGGAATATGGTCAGGTTAACCCATCATAGCTCCACAGAAACACATAACAAGGATTGTGCCAAAATCTTCATCCCACTATATAATTTCCTTAAAAAATAATACATATATACATAAAATTGCTGCTTTTCCAAAGAAAACAAAGAGGGGCACTGTCTTATTCATCAGCTGCCAAGTCCCATAAGTAACAGATTGGAGAGTTAAAAATGTGAGTGAACAACAAAGACTAAGGAGGGGAACCCTTATTAATAACGTGTTAACGACAGATAAAAGTACTGCTCAAGGCCTTCAGGAAAGACCTAGAGCTTCCTTGTACTTTTCTTTAGGTGAACAGAGAGGTAAACACAGTTTGTATCTCAAAAGGCTTACCGAATGAGGGGGAAAGAGAGGCTTGCACATAAATTTCCTGTTCATAGGCTTATTGCTGAACACCCACACACACATGCACAGATACATACGCCACCACAGATTTGGTTTTCCAAAGTTTTCAGTTATTCTCAGGTTTGCAATTACACCACAACTATACCTCAGAGTATATGACTCTACCACATCTTAAACACTTGTTCTAATAATCCATATCATTAAGGGTTTCTTGGTTATTTCATTCTGTCACACAGAAGCTGATCTACAAAAAGAAAGGAAGAGTAAGGATGGGAGCCTGATACTATGAACAAAAAAGGAACAGGAGTGCCAGCTATATAAAACCAAAGTCTAGCAGTCACTTTTAAAATTGACACCTGAGTTTGGCCACTGTTGACTCTGCAAAAGAAAAATCACACCCAAGGCTGCTGCAAAAATCAAAGGCACTCTCAGTCCAAGCAGGAAATAGTGGAGTTAAGGACTCAAATTAAGATGAATATGTATCACCTCACTCAAACACAGTCAAGTTTTGTCCATTTCCACCTATATGCACAAACAAAATGGTGGTTTTCCTCACAGTTTCAGAAGCCAAAATTCACTGCTAACCATTTACAAAACGTTCTGCATAACACCAGCGTTCTGACTTACTGTCCTCCATATGATTTCTGTTGCCATAGACAGCTACTTACTGTAGCGAGAAGATGACTGCAGAAGAGGACAGGATCACCATGGGCAGCAGGCAATAGCCCAAGACACTTGCAACACAGCCATGTGAGACTCCTGGGACACTCATCAAGTTCAGAAAATGCATAGCAAGGCACCCAATGGCGCTCATGCCATACACGTAGCCAAAATGAACTTTTCCTGCCTGGAATAAACACGAGTAAGCATGAAGCATTAGTAGTGAGCAAGTGATAGCAAAGTGGTGGGAGAAGACAGAAGGCAAGCACTAAGTTTGTTACTTTTTCTTGTTGACACTCTCTCTCTGCTTCGCCTACATCAGTTCAATTGTAAACCACAGTCAATAATTTTGGGTGATTTTTGCATCAAAAAATTCCAAGGTACAATTGTGAGAATATGCTTGTCACTGACTTAAAGTTATAAATAAGGCTGATTCTCAGTCTTGGGCTCTGAACAGGACAGGAATTGGTTGGGGAGACTTGGGAAGGTCTAACTGGTAACCAACTGCAAAGAAATTATGGAAAGCACATTTCAGTGTATATATTTATAGGTGTATATGGGGCTGTGGAAAAGTGTCCTAAGCAAAATGGTGAACTGACTTGCTTGATTTTACATCATCATTTGTATGAAATCAGACTTCCCCATCCAAACCTCCAGCTTTAAGCAGGCCTGCAAAAAAACTAGTAAAACTTTGCTGAAAGTATGCTGGTTTTCAGGATGAATGTGTTCACTCTTCCTCTTGACTACCATGAGAAAGACACATCTCTGTGGTTAGATCAATACAACATGTTTATTTCAATATAAACCTGAGCACTGTCAGCTCGTGTTCTCTTTTGTTCCAATGAATGAAAAAAAAACCCCAGGTGTTGGATTTTTCCTAGGTTTTACTCCTTTGTGTGAGCTTAGTGTCTGCAAAAAGTACCAGTCTGACAGCCTGGAGCCTGATGTTTTCTAATTTACACACGAAGCTAGTACAACAGGCAACAGTGGCCACATCACCACCAATTTCTTCATCTCCTGCCATCTTTTTGAATTATCACCTCCAGGCATGAGGGTGTTGTTCACTCCCCAAAATGAACACTCACAAAAGACTGTTAAATATTTTTCCTCTCTCTTCAAGCTTCTAACAAATGAAATACTTAATGTCAGCTCTGCAATACTGTCATTTTCACATCTGTACATCAGAAATAAACATTCATACATCAGAAATAAACAGTGATTGGGATGAAGATGGTTTTGCCTACTTTGTCTTGGTACTTTGTATCCTAATGATAACATGCATTTGTGAAGGAGAAAGCTCAAACCTGGGACTCAATTCTTAACTCAGGACCATGAAATAAACTTCTGAAATGAAGGGCCACAATGCATCACCTTCCTAACATATAACAATATGTATATACATATTTAATACACAGGTGTGTTTGTGCATACACACACACATTATATATTGCATATGATAAAACACATGAGAATCAAAACTAACTAGGTCTCAGTCTTCTAATAATTTTGTAGTTTATGTTTGGACTCTTTTGTGATGGATAAGACAGAAACATCATTGAAGCATTTTTCATGGTTTGCAATATTTACAAGTATCTCTTCCATGATAGTTAAGGAGGATTGAGAAGCCCTCCCACTTTACTTACCCATATGTTTTAATAAAACCTGGGGTAAACCAACTTTGAGGACCTTCCTTCTCTGCCCCTTCTTCCTGTATGCATTTGAGTGGAAACAGATCACTGGATGCCAGCAGTATTTGAGCTGGACAGGTATCAAGCAACACAGTGGAGAGAGCCTAACCTGGTACAGCCAGGTTGCTATATATCCTCGCAATGTCCAAAGTGTTGGCCTTTTCCCTGCCACTGCGCTCCACCATAAAGGAATAATCTGTTCCTGAAATCTTCCTATTTAGGTACAGAGTCCTTTGCTGGCATTTGCATACTACTGGTATAAAATAGTCATGAAAAATTGCTTCACCAAATAAAATTAATGATAGCTAGACATTATGTGGGACAGCAATACTAGCTTATTATCAATTATAATTTCAGCCATCAAAGATTTGTAGTGAGTTTAACAACTGCAAAGGTTTGGGGCAGCCTTTACTGCAGACCAACTAAGAAAAACTCTGTTTAAACAGATGTAACAACAACTACAGGCTCATATTTTAGACTGTTTCAGTGTATTTAATTATTCTACACAGCACTATTTAGCAGATTAGTTTAAGACTAAGAAATTATGTAGACAGAGATGAAGGGAGCTCTAGCATTAGCAGCTTACTGAAATCTCCACTTGGTGAAATGCTTGATTTGTGGTGCAGGGGAACAAGAGAGAAAAAAAAAAAAAAAAGCAGCTGAATATGTTGGTTCCAATTCGTCTTTCTTAACATATGTAAATATATTGACTCACACATGCGGGAATACTCCCAGTTCACAGTGATGTAAGCAAAACCAGAATCAGGCTTGATTAGTCTGGCAGGCTTTGATGAATGGAAAGAGCTAAATTTGTCCTGCGGAAGGAACAAGGTTAGAAGAAAGTCAGACTTTGTGCGCTTGTTTGCATCTGCCTAGGGTGGGTACTACTATCCTTAGTTTAAGTGGATGGGGAAGTCTGATTTCATACAAATGATTATGTAAAATGCAAAGCAGCTGAGAGTCGGGCTTCTGCTAACTTTCGCACTGCTGTTGTTTCTCTATCTGCAATGGAGCTGTCCTGTTTTACGCCAGCATGAAGAAGATAAGTCCTGATGCCAGGCTAACAACCCTTTCCTCTTTTTCTCCATGCTCTGAAAGAACTGCTACCTTTTGAAGAATATCTTTGCATATTTTTCCATAGTTAAAAAGCTGAAACGAAATAAAATTTATAAATTATTTTTGGAAACAAGTTCTCAACCAAATTATGTTCCTGGTTCTATTAGAAGAGAATTATTCAAGTACAGAAGGATATCATAGCTTACACAGCTGAAGAGCCACTTTAGTATTCAAATGCATCTGAGATAAAATGAGCAGCCTGAATTTATAAGATGGCCCGTGGAAATCCCATAGACTTATTGCTGTGAAGTTGTGGCACAAAAACACTAGGTTGCATCAAAGGAGTTCCACTGGCCTAAAACTGAAGCATTGAAAATAGTTGGTTTTCTAATGACACTTAAAACTCTTAATATCCCAGAATAAATATGGTAATTAAAGTACTTTATTTCAATAATACTGGTTTAATATTATTTATAATTGTTGGCTATGCAGGGAGCAACATCAACAGCAAATTTTTTTTTTCCCATGCTTGCTTTCTTTTAGGTTTCCTTCTATTTTTCTGATTATAATAAATTCAACACTTTCTTCTTTTATTCCCCTCATAATTTTATTTCTCTAGGTGGAAAACAGCCTGTCTTCTCTAGCTTCCCACCTTCTTTTGCTTTTATTCCCTTTCCTCCTGCCTTTTCTACCCTTTTAGAAGATTTTTACTTTTATAAGGACATAAATAATAATACTTGCTATTTCTATTGCAGTTTGCAGATTTAAGGTACTGCACTGACACCACAAATTGAATAAAAACTTGCAAGAGTCTTCTGATTCAGCACTATTTATCACAGAGGAAATAGAGAATTAGAGCCCCATTTCTCTCACCTCAGTCACAGAGCAGTAAAGCCCTTCCCAGAACGCTCCCACCTTATCCCTGTCTGACAAATTGCTGCCAACAATCAGAGGTGTACTTCAGCAGCACTGGAGAGCCCCTGTTGTCAGTGATAAATAGATGAATTTGGAGAACTGTACAATCCCTGTTCAACTTTCTTCCTGTAGGAAAGCTATATTCATAATAAGGAAAGAGGTTAAACACAGGCTAGCATATTTTGTTTAGCAGATGATGTAGAAAAAGAATATAAACTAAGAAAGGACTAGCAAAATTTATAGAAAGGCATTGCAAATTTGAGGTGGGAAGGAAAAGGCTGTTTCCATTTCCTTTTTCAAATTATTCTAGTTACATAATTTTTTTTTTTTTTTTAATATCTTTGCACTCCCCAAAATAACATTAAGACAAGATAATTTCCAAACAGTTGCAAGAGTGTTAGAAAAACCTGAGCTGGTCTGCTATGCCTTTTTATTGCCTCCTTTAAAACCTCCTTGTTAGGTCCTTACCTAGTGCACACTGCTATGCTTTGGGTGTTCAGAGCCTCTCCAGAATATACACTGCACAGATCTGTACTTTGTTCATATTAAATCCCACCCCAAAAAATGGTGTGGTCTTTTCTTTCTGCTGGAAGTAATACATCACTTCACATGTATTACAATTACATTATATTTAAACTTTATGCTGGTACTTTCAAAGCAAGGAGAATTTTTAATATATAATCTCAGAATAAACAGCAGGAAATGACTCATTTCATGCCAGTACTACATCTTATGTAACTTCACATGCATTATCACCTAGGTATTAGCTTGTTAGGAAAGAAATCCCATAAGATTTCTACCACAGCCTACCAGCAGCAATGTTGCTCCAAGGGCCAAACAGAAAATCATAGGTCCGGTGAGGTCTGTCTCATTCATAATGCTGCCATCTGCAGGCTTCATTGGATTTAGAACCGTTAATGTTTTTTGCCATATATGCTCAAAATTGATCCCAAGTTCTACAACGAGAAATTCCAGGATTGTTAACTGCTCACAAGAAAACAACACTTTTCCAGAAACCCACTGGATACCACAAGACTTCAAAAAATAAAACAGATTAATTGCTTTCATGAAGGTAATATTGTAGGATGATGTATTCTGTACTAGGAACGTGATATCCCTGCCATATCTAAGAGTCAGCTCTGACTCTAAATGGGAATATTAATTTATTAACTCCAATTTTAGGCAGCGAACTAAAAAAATGCCCTCAGCATTTTTGAGTTAATATTTGTTTTTTCTGTATTTAAAACACATATATCTAATGCCGCAGTAACTCAGATTTTGAAAAATGTGTTAATTAATAGCAACCACAGAATTCAAGATACTCTAGAATACCGAGGACAGAGATATATGCTTCAATTCTGGCAAATCTGACAAGAGATGTGTCTTAAGTCTGAACTGCCAGAGGCACTTAAAAATGACATTCTTCCCTTCAAGGCAAGTTAGTAATACTGTACAGTGCTTTATAAGTTTGTTTTTTTTTTTCATTTAAAAAGTAATTACTGAGGACTCCTAGAAACAGAACAAAATTCTTCCCCATTAAAGTCGATGGGAATTCTGCCGTTAACTTTGCTGGGGCAAAGTTTTCTTTTGTAACTTCTGCAGAAGCACTTCAGCATGCAAGAGCAACCCTCTTCCCCAAGATGCTCCAGTAAGGGAAAAGTTACATTCAGAACTGAGTGCCAGAATTACTGATTGTCAACGTTAGATCTGTTTGGAAAGCAAAGTCTTTACCTTATTCCACCAATCCATCACCTCAAGCTGAGCTAAAACATTATATAAACAAAGTTATTCTTTATTAAAATGTGTGTCTTTGGTCAGATTTATGTGGCACACAGACAGGAGTATCTCTGAAGGAGTTGTATTTCAACATCATTTTCACAGGGTGAGCTGCATGTGGAGTTAAATGCTTGGAGGTCTGAGAGATAGAGATCTATAAGTTATCTATATCAGAGTGATCTTGCTGTTTTTAAGGTGGTAGTAGTATCTTTTAAGTAGTAAAAACTCCTCTTGCCTTCTAGCATGTAAAAGCAGGCTGAATATACCCTTTTTACATTAGGCTGAAATAACCACAAACAAATACTCTGATTTTTTTTAATGTAGCACAAGTATTTTGTAAACTGCAAAATCAGCCACTAGTGTTAGGACGGTTCAATCACCATAAACAATAATATTGTTCGTGTAGTCAAATGATGAACCAGTCAAAGCTGAAAGCAGCTTTCTCAATTTCCTTCCTGCTAACAACCTATTTAGCATCTTCAACTATTAAATTTATTACAAGATATGTAAAAAGGATTATTATCAGTATTTATTAATTATAGATGTTCCAATCTCTATGCAGGATAAACACAGAGTGGAAAAAAATATTTGGAAATGTGAACGCAAAACTTATTGTTATGCTGTCATCTAGTGGTAGTAAAATATGTGCTATACATGCCATAAGGCTGAATGAATCCATGGTGAATTCGTGTAAGAAAATGTAGGTTTGGGGGCCAGGGGCTGTTGGGTAAAGCTCACACAGCCAGGCTTGGCAGCTCTGCCACAGTTTCTCTAGTGACTGCCACTAGCGGGCAAAGAAAAGTATAGGCAACTCCAGGAACTACATATATTGACCCTGGTTTTATTTTTACCTTCTAGTAAAGGAGGTTCCTCATCAAATCCATCAGCATAACTAAGATGAGAGAGAGCGTCAGGACTGTATGTTGGCTGCAAAATCTGACCCATGTAACTCTGAGAGGACAGAAGCATTTCTGAAGGGGCAAAAGCACTGGCTGGAGGTTGCTCTCCTGTCAGGCTCCTAGGACAAGAAGCAAATCACAGCAAAACAAGTAACTGCAATGAGCAACTCCACAACAGCTTATAGGTGCTCACCATCTATCACGGTTTAAATTTTCACCTATTTTCAATTTGGGGAACCTGGAAATTTTCTGGGCACAGCATCCACTGTGTGTAGTGAATGCTGAGCTGCTGACCATGGCTTTGCTTCCCTTCACTGAAAACCCCTCTGAAACCAGGCAGGGCTCCTTGCGCACCTGCCAGCATGTTACAGCCCATCACACCCATTTCTGCCCCCATTCAGCTCAGCCTATGGCAGAGCCCAGGCCCCTAGGCTGGGGGTGAGGGGAAAGCGAATTTAGCATCTCTGAGGGCACACACAAATTTAGGCACTCCTAACTTTTCCACCAAAGGGCCTGGTGACATTCCTCAGATAAGTCCATACTGCTAGAAAGAGACATATATTTAGATTTTTTTTTTTTTTTTCTTGAATCTGGGAAGGAGCTTAAAGCATTTCCAGCAATATGTGCTCTAAAAGCCACATTAATAACATGATACTCAGTCACTCCAATTAGGTAAACAACTTGTAACATCTGTATGTATAAGAGTAGCACAAAAGCAAATCCTTTATAAAGAAAGGTTCAATTTTAAGTAATTCTGCCTTGGAAAAAGTCTAGATGAACTCCTGAAGCTCTTTCCTGGTCCTGCAAGCCCCGAAACCAGACGGATTCATCAGCTGCTCAATAGCGAAGCTGCAGCAACACCCAGCTTCCTATTGCAGTTGCGTCGAAATCTCAAGCAGGAAACTCTCAGAACTTCTTTCCCTCAGTGTCCCTCTTCCATCATCAGAAGTCACCAATAAGTTTAAAAAATAAGAAAAAAAAAACAATAGGATTTTTCCTATCTTTATACTGCTGTGGCTTGTATTTCTCCACTAAAACTTCCACTGTATTGATTATGCAGTCCTTTTTTGGCAATTGCATGCTGGTTTTTGTCATTAATTTCATTTGAGCTTTGAGATATATCACCTTTTCTCTCTTTGTTTTGTTTTGGGTTTTTTTTTTTTTTTTTTTTGGTAGCATACTTACTTTCTACTTCCACAGAGGTTTTCGTTAGATCCATAACTGTTGTAACCTTCTTCCTGGTCATCTATGGTATAATTGGAGTGGTAAAAGTCAAAGTGAAACTGCTCGAAATTTGACATTCTGGTTGGAAAAATGATTGTAAATATCAATAAAATAGCCTTTGCAACAAGCCAATATCTGTTTTGAATTGTCCTAACCTTAAATTAAAATAGCAAACTTTAAACGCACAAACTCGGGAGTGTCTTTCTGTAGAAACTCATAGAAATTTAGAAGTAACAAAAAAGGACTCTTTACTTTCTTTTGCTGTAATTAATCTTCTTTCACTGTTAATTACTGTATATCAATTTATAAGTGGTATACAAGATTTCCTGTCTTGTTACTGTTACCAAAAATAACCTAGAGTAATTTTCAAAGAAGACATATATCAAGTAAACTATTGTTTTAAACAGTTCATTTCCCTATTTAAAAAAAAAAAAAAAAAAAAAAAAAAAATTGTGGCCACATCTGAATGCTTAGAAATTAATGTTTTTAAAGAGGTATTTTGCTGGGAGGACAGAGGGCTCAGGGGGATCCCATCAATGAATATAACCATTTGATGAGAGGGAGTAAAGATGACAAAGCCAGAGTTTTCAAACCATGACTGGACAAGCCCCTGAGCAGCCTGCTGTCAGGCTCTTTTCAGCTATTCATGTTTTGCAATATTATATATGACTATCATAAAACAACAGAAAAATACAAATATATTATCAGAATTTGTGATTTCTGATTAAGGACACTGTAGTTGGTATATTAGGAGTACCAGAGAAACATTCTCACTGGTTAGCTGCATGCCTTTGAAAAGGACAGCTCACTGAATTACCAAATAGTAAAGAAAACGCGTTAAAATGTGTCTTTCATTCCTGTTGACCCATAGTTCAGCTCTGTAGCTATGGACTGATTAGACTAAGAAAGGAACAACTTGTCTGTTTTCCCTTCTACATTGTGACTAACTGTTTTTGTAACTACTTGAAATTTCCACACATTGGGCCCATCTCATGTATCCTGTGCGTAGGCAGGACGGGTTGTCTGGATCATATATAAGCAACATAAGAAATGAAGTGCTGTAACACATCATGTACCTTTTGGCATTATAGACTGTTTCAAAATGCAAAGATATTTTATTAATTCTTAGACGTGGTCTGGGTGCTTCTTATGTTATTAGCATGGCTGACTATAAGTCCACAAAACAGCTTCAAAATTGGCAGGTCTATCTTCCATGCTTTCAGTAAGGGTACCCACAAGATGAAGGCCTGACCCTACTTCACCTCAGTGTTACCTTTTTACGGAGCCAGAGGCAGCAAAGAGGTGACACCTGCTCAGTACAGTGCATCGGTTCAGGAAGCCCTCAGCGGGTGGAGGCTGGGGGCACCTCTGCGGACTGCCTGATCCAACTCCACAGCAGGCTGCTCAGGGCCATGTCCTGTTAGGTTTTTAAAAGTCTGACTTGGTCATCTTTACTCCCTCCCATCTGGTGGTTACATTGATTGATGGGATCCCCCTGAGCCTTCTCTCCTCCCAGCTAAAGTTCTTCAGTGACTGAGGGAACACTCTGAGCAGGATTTGCCTGTAAATGCACAGATGTGTGCATGTATTTCACCACTTGCCTAGCATTTATGGGGTTAAACTCTTAAAACGCACAGAGAAGTTATATAACCTGATAACCATAACCATATCCAATTTACTTAGATTTTCATGTAAGATATTCATCACTCCTAACATTTGCTGTTTTCTTCACTTTTGCCCTCTTTCCCAACTTTCCAAATACCATTAGCAAAAATATGCTTTTCCTCTCACAGTTACTGCCATAGGTATCTCTGTTTATATCAAGCACACACTGCTTATGGAAAAGATCTTTGAAAATCTCTTTGTAATGTAAAAGTTATAAAGATTAGTATTTCATCAGGGACCTTGAAATGCTGCATATTAAAATTTCTAAATTGTATCCCACAATAAGACTAATCTGTGGGAACCAAATTCCTCCATTTACCTAAAGCATTCAAAGTAGAAGTTATATTATTTTCTTAACTACTGACCAATTGTTCAAGACTTCCAAATTTAGAAGAGAAATAATTTTTACATTGTAAATATGAATTAGTAGAAAGTAACTGTACTAAGCTATTTACTGTGGTTTTATTTGGAATTGCACACCAGCTACGCATTTGTTCAATAAAGATTTTACATGGAATATGTTTTAAAAAACTTTAGTTGGTACCTCTAAGCCAGTAGTTCAATGTTCTTTGCTGTCACTATGAGGAATTAAATAATTACTTAACTAGGTATGCTACAATCTGTATAACAGAGTCCAGAAAAGATAATTACTTTTTTTTTCCAAAAGAATTTGGAGTTAAGGTTACTTACTTTTTAAGATATTTGTTGAAAACTCCAGTCTGTTGAATTTACATGTTGTAGAACACCTAAAATATCCTCTTACTTCAACAGGAATGAGCTCAGTGCTATTTATAGGATTCTAAATTTGATCTTTGAACAGATGTATATGAAGGAAAAACCCCCATGACCTGTCACCCACAATATCACGGCCAGCATTTAACAAGAGCTAACAACAATAAGCAGAAAAGTCACAATTAGAAAAGAAACCCAGCTAAAAATTAAAAACAAAATAAATTAAAAAGTAAGAAAGAAGTTAAAATTGAAACATAGATGTATTTCTCTCCATATATAAAATTAAAATACAATATATCTTATTATACATGAATTATGTATGTATACTACATTAATATCTCCGTGTATATAGGCATATAAATGGACACTTAAAATACAAAAATGGAAAATAATATGTTAGAAATTATGATGCAGACAATTGATTAAAAAAGAAGATTAAGTAGTTTATAGGAAAGTGACCAATAGAAACAAGGACTGTTCAAGTGTATCAGAAGCAGACAGAATCATACCAGCACTGCCATTCTCCTATCAGATGAAAAAAGTATAGGGATCAATAAAACAAAAAGACAGAAACATTTAATTAGAAATGCCCAAATCAATGTTTTAAAATTCTGCATCCAAGTGTTTTAGAAGAACTGGTCAAAAATTTTCTACATTGTTGAGCTGCAAAACAACAGGAAAGTTTGAGAAGATCAAAACCAAGTAAATATGCCATTTTGTAAAAGGCTAAATGAGATGTCCTGAGTAATTATTGGCCCGTCACCATGAGATTAATCCTAGCAAATTATGGGCTCAAATAATAAATAACTGAATCGATGAATCCAATCAACGTGGGCTTTTGGAAACTAGCTCATTTCAACCTAATTTATTTTCTAACAAGATCTGTAGTTGGGAAAGGTAACCACCATTGACCTACATTTATACAAGGCATTTTACTTGATTTTGCTTCAATAAATATAGAACCATCACTGCTTAATGGGACAACCATTGTACTGATTAAATAAGTGCTATGTGATGTGTCTGAAATGTAATTGTAAAAAGAGAGGAGGATTTCTAATGGTGCTTTACAGGACAGAAGCTTTACAAACCTCATCTAGCAGATACTTTGAAGCAAAATCTACCAACCAGAGCCAGTCACAGGGTGGTTTGACCAGAATCTGTTAGGACAAAACAGACTGAATATAATAAAAAGATCCTTGAAGCTATTAGTCAATGGTAAAATAAAACAGAGCAGAAAAGCTTGAAAATTTTCACAGTGACAGCAGCAGTTGACCACAAGAGCGTTTCCCAACAGTACTAACAAGTTTCCTGTAACAGGACATCTGATGATCAAACGAGATATTATATTTTAGTTTAGGTAGGGAATTAACTCCGTAACACCCCATGACCTTTGCTTATCCAGGACTACAAACTAGACAGTTGTATTGGGTCTGACTGAGATGGAGTTAATTTTCCCCATAGCAGCCCTCACCATGCTGTGCTTTGTAGTGACAGCTAGAAAGGTGTTGATAACACATCCATGTTTTGGCTTCTGCTGAGCCGGGCTCATACAGCATCAAGATCATCTCTCCAACATTCCCCCCTCCACCTCACCAGTAGGCTGAGGGTGGGCAGGATAGATCTTGGGAGGGGACACAGCCAGGACAGCTGACTCAAACTGACCAAAGGAATATTCCATACCATACGATGTCTGCTCAGCAATATACGCTAGGGAAAAAGAGGAGGAAGCAGGGGACATTCGTTTTCACGTTTGTCTTCCAGTGCAACCACTACGTGTACTGAAGCCCTCCTTCCCACGAAGTGGCTGGACATCAACTGCTGATGGGAAGTAGAGAATAAAACCTTTTGTTTTCCTTTGCTTCTGCACACAGCCTTTGCTTTTGCTTTATCAAACTGTCTTTACCCTGACCCATGAGTTTTTGCCATCTTGTTTTCTCCCCGCCCTCTCCTGCTGAAGAGGGGAGTGATAGAGCAGCTTGGTGAGCACCTGGCTTCCAGCCAGGGCCAACCCACCACAACAGCGCAGGTCCTTTCTAGTCTTAAAGTCTACGAATAAGAAACCATTTTACTCAGGGGTAGGTTTGAAGAATAAATAAACCATTCTGAGGGGGAAAAAAACTGTAAGACTGAAAAAGGATCAGAGAGGAGCTAGGAAAAATGGATGTGCCCGTGACCACAATAGCTATAGCAAATATTGAACATTGAAGTTTGGTGTGAAAGGAGCACCCAGTCGATTTTTACAGGTACAGGTCAGTAGACTGAGCAAAGGGCCACCAGAGCTGAGCACTTCTTCAGGTACTCGATGTTTAGTCCCTCACTGACACATCACATTAGAGAAGGCTGTCACACACGCGTTAACGTAAGGAAAAAATAAATTGTTGCACCTTGAGGCTTTAGAACAGAATACGAATATAACCTCACTTTCTTTGATTGGCAGGTACAAAGGACGTTAATAATCTAAGGAAAAAATAGATTGGATGAGGTCTAATCATCAAAAATGAGAATGAGAACTGAAGCGTATAAAAAAGATGAACAGAGATGATGAAAAATGTGAGAATTTCTACAAGATATTCAAAACTTTTTTCTAAACTGAACTGCTAGAGTTTTGTTTATGTACTTTTTCAGCTTTCCTGAAAAGGAAAACAGGCATGTGGGGAAAGCTGACATATGATCAGTTTTCATAAGCTTACATTTTCATGTTCAGCTTTTTTGACAAAATGGGTTAATAATTAAAATTTTTAAAATTTCTGGTAATTTTTTTTTTTTTTTAAAATAGATAGCACAAGGTGAAATGGGATAAAATAGAAAAGACTATAGAACTCTGGCTAAAGAATCACCTATGTAATCCCGTATTTATTACTCAAAGTAAACTGATGAGTATAGCAAATCCATTATACTCATTAGTCAATTATTCTATAGTTTTTTTCAAATGTAAAAATTAATCACATTAAGGATTAATTCAGTAAGCCTTAAGCTTAATGACTTGCATTTACAGGCTCCATTAATAATTTTATAACTGGGAAATTATTAAAATATGTTACTAAAGAAGAGGGGAAATTTAATTACAAAGAAATGTACCATTTACTGCTTCTATGAAATAATATTTTTACCAAATTACTTACATCATATAAAGTGTCTACTACATTAATTTTATGCATACAGGCATCAGACACCCTCTACTGTAACACCCTAACTCTTTCCTATGAAAGGTCTTCAGAGATTGGGTAAGATGCAAAAAAAAAAAAAACAAAAAAACCCCCCCAAAAAAACAACAAAAAGAAGAGTGAAATCCAAAGCTATTAGTGTTTTCCTTTATGCCAAACAAGTTTGTTAGACTTGAACAAACAAGTGAGAAGTTATGGATTCCTGCATGAATGGTTTTACTTATCAATACACACTAGCAGCCCAAAACACGATTCTGCTGCTAGAAATTAGGAAAGAAAAAGACAGTAAAAAAGAGAACATCATTATACCACTGTGATTCTCTGACAACTTCAACACTGTGAGCAGTCCTAGCTCCCCTACCTCAAAGTGTTTAGCAGAACGGTGATGTGCCGAGAGAAGGGCAGGGGAGATGTGTATGGAATAGGCTCCACGTGAAGAACTACTAGGTTAGTGAGGAGTCCTTGGGCTGGAAAAGCAATGATTAGTAGTGGTTTACAAAATTGAGTGACGTGGACTAGTGGGTAGGGATAAACTGTTGACTCTTTCTTCAGAAAGAAGAACAAAATCCACAAAGTGTTGGTATTAGATTCAAAACAAAGAAACAAAAGGTTTGTGGGTGACAGACTTTGGATCTCCTCATCAAAGGAAGTTATGCATGTTGAATATTTATATGGATCTGGAACAAGTCCATGAAAGACAAATCCACCAAGAATAACTAAATACATAGGAACAGTATGCAACTCAAGAAGTCCATAAACTAGAAGTAGTAGAAGACTAAGAAAATATTCAGGGTACACATTCATATTCTTCCCCATGCATTCCATCACTGTCATTGCTGAAGTAGACTTCCTGTTTTGACTTATATGGCTACTCATATTCTTTGTGTTTGTGAAGGAGGAAAGCAACCCAAAAGAATATAGATTCAAATCTAAGAAACCATGAGACCATAACATCCTTAATTCTATGTAGGATGGATTTGTTGACTTCTAACAATTACTAAAACTACTGCTTTATATGGCTTCAACTGTATGTCTCCTTCCACACAGCTTTTTACTTCAGATTGGAGACCTTCTTCTCACGTCTCTGTTCTGAGTTAGCTACCTCTCAGCTTCTGACTTATTTCCCCATCGAGCAATTTTTCTGCTGCTTCCAGCAGGAAAAACAGAAAGAAAAAAAAAAAAGTGTGCTTAGATTAATGACTTCCAAAAAAGTGAAAGGAACTTTTCTTGATTTTTCCAGAGTTTCACAACTTATACATTCTCTTTCCTCTAGAACACTTCTATATTGGGATTTCTGGAAAAAACAAAACAAAACAAAACAAAAAAACCAACAAAACTTACATGCTTCCTTGCCTTATGTACAAAATATCTTGAAGAACATTTTCTGCTCCTTGGAGACACTGCCTGGATATGGATATTTCAAAAAAGCATTACAAGTCCGCTTACGTTGTTGATATTTCTTATGACAGGAAAGATAATTCTGAGAGAAACCTTAGTTCTGTGGCATCAGAACTAATAGAGCCTGATTGATGATAGATTAGTATCTTGTGGTTGAATTATTTAATATCTAATACACACCGAGACAGAAAATTCAGTTAAAGCTCTTTTTAATGGCTGAATCACACATAATAGATTCTCAGGTTGATTCTTTGGTGTCTAATAAGCATGAGTTGTGTTTTATTTTTTTTTCTCAATGGAGATACTAGGAAGATTTTTTACCTCCTTGTAGCTGCCTATTCTCATTAAATTTGTAGAAACTTAATTAGCATTAAGAGCTCTGTCTTAATTCAACATATTCAAAATCACCCAAAAATTCAAAAGTTGTT